ATCCTCGGGACGAGCTCGTTACTGTCGTTGCACCCCTTTCGCGCTACAAGTTCCCGTAAAGTCCCCCTGATCTCCCGCCTGCGATATTTAACGCAACCTGGTTCGAGAGCATCGCACGCCTCGACGAAGACCCAACTGGAGATTTTTACCTCTCAAGAGAGCGTCATGGAATCGGATCCGAGAGCGCGACAATTGCGCGATAGGGTGCGAGGGAAAATAAGGTCGAGAGTAAAAAATCCGCCGTGGACGAAAAGTAACTCCACGCGAGCGTACGCTCTCGCGAATTGCATTTTTCTCTCCTCTTATTTGAACGTCTTTTCTGTGGCGAACGGGCGTCACATGTAGCTGATTGCCTAGTAATAACCATGGCGAAACTCGAAGAAGCAGAAGCGGAAAAAGAAGAGGAAGAAAAAAAGAAGAAGAAGAAGAAGGAGGAAGAGGAGGAGGAGCAAAGATCGCCGCGGGGAAACTTTTCCACGGAATGACTCTCGTCCCGCTTGAATGTACATCCTTGTCGGTTACGGAGCACGCAGGAAGTCATTCCGCGAGCTGCTGAACACCACCGCAGGCTACTCGGCGACGAGGCGGATTACCGGTAGGCGCGGTAATTGAGGGATCGCCAAGTTCACGAGGGGGCGGCGCACGGCAGTCTTAAAATCCAATCAGACCATCGCCGGGCGGTGAATATACATGAGATGTCCTGCGAAAATCGCTGCCGAGCGGCCGGAGAAAAATCCGCGAGCTGCGGGATGCGACGCCGAAAAATACCGCCCCGGCTGCGGATTTTAATCCCCTCTCCCTTCCCTCCGTTGTCGGTCTGTCATTTTTAATTAAGCGACTGCTCGTGCAAAGAGGAAGCGGTGTTTCCTCCTATCGATTTCGACCAAAGGATCGGCGAGAGCGAGAGGCTGTGCTTCCTTTTTTCGGTGGGTTGGTGGGGTGATTAATTAACCGAGGGATTAATAGACCGTGAACTCTCCCTCGTAGCATTGCCGCGATCCACGCGAGAGAAGGCACTCTTCGAGACCCTCTCGGCGATTTTAATCTATTCGCTTTCGGCTCGACCGCGATATCGCGGCGGAATTGATCGACGGCTCTGTAAGAGAAGCGCCCATAAGAGACGACGATGTCGAGATCCTCCTCGCTACGACGAGGAACTGACGGCTATAAGTAGTATATTATCGGGGAAGATCCTTTTTCGACTTCAATCAGCGAAACTTTTCGCCGCGCCCTGTCGATACGTAAGGTAGAAGACCCTCGGCGGCTGATTGCCAAGGAACTTTCAATCTCAACGGAGACGAGCGACGTCGAGCGAAGAAGCTCTCGAGGAACGGCCGCGGCGCAGCTCTCATGCCGGCAGTCGCGAAAGTTTACAAGTCGATGATCGCGCCCCGACACCGGTGATGACTTTCTCCAACGACAGATTATCGTTTAGCATTCTGTCGATATCGCGCAGGTGTTGACGATTCGCTCGCTCTCGTGTCCGAGTCGATGCGGATATGATCGCGCGTGATGCGAATCGAGTAGCGACTAGACGTCGCGGTGAAATCTTGGAAATGGCAAATCCGTCGTCGGTTTCCACGCGGTTGTGGCTCGATCATAATTCCGATCAGCTTTTTCGACAGCTCATGGACCCGGAAGACCCACGCAATGCGTTAATGCTGTTAATAATTTTACATTGAGCAACCGTAGGAGTCCAAGTGTTCAGGAGGGAATTACATGCGGAGCGGGCCGTTTTTAAGGCTATTTTTACGAATTTTTTCAACAAAAACAGTAGGATCAATGGACTTGAAATTTTCACAGTGTATTCAATAATGTTCAAAGTATAAAATAAATTTGTTACTATCTACATGGAAAATTTACATAAGATTTTAAACGCGTTTATCTGGAAACACCATTTTCTTAAACTGTCTACACGATTATGCGAAAACTACTGAACCGAGTAACTTGAGATTTTTACACAATATACAGTAGACGTGTAGCTTTCGCCCCTTACCTCGAACACAGTTATATTTTATGTTATTCATTTTTTTTAAACACGATTACAACTTGAGAAAAGTTTCATTTTTGATACTTTTTTCTTTGTACAGTCATTATTTTTCCAAACTTGGCTCCACTGTCTTCACTTTGATACGGATTATAATGGCAACCGTATATTTTAAAAATCTTTCTCAGTTTTTGAATAGTCTCAGAGTAGTGAGAGAGGCCCGGAATGATGTCGACAGCAAACATAGAGCTCGCAAACGGATGACTACATTTTTATTTATAATTACAAATTGGATCAGTTGTTGTGATTCAATAAAATAAATTTTATTGAATCACAAAACAACTTTGAACACATTAATGAATATACCGTGAAAATTTCAAGTTCACTGATCTTACCGTTTCTGTTGAAAAAATTCGTAAAAATAGCCTTGAAAACAGCCTTCCGCATGTAATTCCTCCCTCATAAGGGGACCTCTCTCTCTCTCTCTCTCTCTCTCTCTCTCTCTCTCTCTCTCTCTCTCGCGCGCGCGGCTAAAAACAAATCGCAGGTTGGCAGTTACAGACGTCGCCGTTGGTGCGAGCTGACGCTTCTATCTCGGGACACATTTAAATCGCGAGGCTGCAGGAGGCGGCGGTGCGAGCGAGACGACGCTGCTTTCGCCCGGACGCCTCGATGGCTCTAAAATCGACAGGAGCGGCGAAGAGCCGCACAGGCGGCGCCGCGATATACGCGAGAGCGTCAACAGGCGACAGGATATTTTCCGCCCGCACCTCCTAGCGCGCGCAGTTTCCTAACACAATTAACTGCAACAGCCTGCAATCGAATTAGCCCGTATCGGAAGCTGCATCGACAGGAGTTGCGGCAGTTTTCCTGAACGAGTCTCGCGGCGACCGAGTTCTCGCAGCACGGATCGAATCGACTTTTTTCCTCTTTTCCGTCTCTCTCTCTCTCTCTCTCTCTCTCTCTCTCTCTCTCTCTCTCTCTTTCTTTATTCTCTCTCTACTTATAACTCGGTCGACACCTCTCGAGCGACGGCATCTCTCGCGGATAACGCGACCCCCGAGCTGGAAATGTGGGTCGTGCACGGGCGAAAAACAGGGAAACATTTCGGAGTCAACGCGCGTTCGCGTTTATTCTGGTAAACGAGAACCGAGTGATTTCACCCGACCGTCCTCTCCACCCTTCGTACCCTTCCGAGGTACAAGATCTCGCATCGTGACGCGTGTGAGTGAGAAAGTGGGCAAATTCCACTCTCCCTCCTTTTGATTGATCATTTGTTTAAGTATTTTTTCATCATCTGCTTATCCCTCGCCTATTTTGACTTATTTGTTTATTTATTGTGATTTTTATCCAGTTGTTTATATCCACGTTTGCCGCTTTATCCTCTTTACTCCTTACGCTTTCATCTCCGCCCTCGTGGCGCGTTTTTGACGCTTTCTCTTTCGTAATTTCAACAACAAAGAAAAACGACACTTTCCCAGACGTTTCTTTTTCTTTTCGCTGCGTGATTTGCCTGCATACTTCACGCTCACTTCGACTTTATCATTCGGTTTGACTCGGCGATAAAAGAGACGTTCGTTCGCACGCTCGTTGCCACGCGACAATGAGAGAACACCGTTGGCCATTGAAGGAAAGAAAACGAAAGGAGAGAATCTTTCATTTGTTCTCAAGATTGAAATCAAGTTCGCGAAAAGTTGCTCCTCCCTCCTCCTCTCTCACTCGACTCGACGTTCGATATCTCGAGGCTCTTGGCGAGGGAAAGTCGAGTCGAGGTAGAAAGCGAAGAAAAGCGCGGTGTTTCCAGCAAACAACACACGGCGACGCGACAATCCCGGAGATGTCTGTAAGATTTGGAGTATACCCGCCGTTCCGTAAAGTCCCTCTTCGCCATTTTCTCACACTCGCTCGGCTTGCTTTTCGACAAAACGCGCTCGCGCCGCCGTATCCGGGCGAGAAAACAAACAGCAGGTATCGCGTTCGCCCGGATGGATTTTTCAGCGGCCTCTCTGCTGGAAAAATATCTTCGGGTATCGTGGACGGCGCGAGGATAATTTAAACGACGAGGAAAAAAATTGCGACGAGGACGCCTCCCCCCTTCTCTCTCTCTTTACCGAGAGAGCGATGATGCGACGCTTTTAACAGAACGAGATCTCTCTCTTTCTCTCTCGTTCGCTTTGCCGCGCCGAAAATTGATCGCCGGTGTGCGAAATAACGTTTCTTCAGGAAAACGGCGCTCCTCCCCGTAAAAGGAGGAAGAGAGAAAGAGAGAGAGAGAGAGAGAGAGAGAGAGAGAGAGAGAGAGAGAGAGAGAGAGAGAGAGAGAGAGAGACAAAGTCAGCAATTACGCGCAATCATCGTCGGCGGAGCTTGCCGGCCTCTTTCGCCTCGCCTCGGGATAACTCCGTCACTTCAGGAATACGACTACGCTAATGAAGCGCGCACGAAAGCGCGATAACTCAAATTGACGGAGATCGTTGTCGCTATTCTGTGATCAGCCAGGTCGCAGCCAACATTCGGCCGACATTCAATTAGCCGGCGACCTGCAGTTACACGCGAAGCGCGAGCCGCGGATCATTGAGGGAGCTATAACTGGGGAGTAACCGGTTCTCAATGGTCGTGGTGGGGCTCGATGTTTAGCGGCAAGATACGCGAATAGCCGAGATTCTCTCGCGCTCTTCAGCGATTACGAGTCCTAACACGAGACCCAGCACCACTACTGCTGATTCCCCGCATGCGCTAAATACTTGCTAAACAGCGATCGCGAGCGGCAACTTTGGCCGTACGTCTGGCTGTTTGTCTGACGCGATGAAGTTGCGCGATGGCGAGCTGAAGCGCCAAGTTGCCCCCCAACTTGTACCTCGTTCCCCCCCCCGCCCCGAAATTTGCCCGAATTAATTTCGGAATTTCAAGTGGAGCCGCGGAGAGCCTCGGTGATAATCGAGCAAGCTCGACGTTTGAAAATCGCGCGGTAGTCTCGACGATTAACAGCAACTCGAGCGATTCTCCTTTCTAGCAGGTACAGGTGCAGCGGTAGCGATGATCGGAGCCAACCTGCGGTTCGGCATCGGCGCTTCCGGAAATGTCACGTCCAACACCACCAAGGTGTTCCAGTGTCATCCCGGTGGCGTGACCGAGGCCACCGTGATATTTAGCCTGGGCGCGCTGGGGATGGGGGCCAACATTATCCTCATGGCGCTGATACTGGCGAAGCGACAGCTGCGTAGGTACGTGTAATATGTAATAATAATCCCGAGAGAAGAGAAGGGCGCGCTTTATAAGCGCCGCGCGCTTTGCACACCGACTGATCCGAAAATCCCCGCGTCGCGTCCAAAGTCAGTTCATACGCGCGAGACAAAAGCTGTGTACGCTGCGCAGACCGGCGTAATAGCCTTAACAAGCAGAACAAAGTTACCAGTGTCTTGGAAACATATAAATTCCTCTCTACACGTTAACATAAATCTACCGCTGTGACAGGATCGTCCCTTCTACTTTGAGTAACAAACAAAGACTAAGGCAATGGGAGAAAATTGCCGACCAGTTCCTAAATTGTACCGTCTTTATGTCTCGTAGAATCCGAAGGCTTAGCGCCATCTGCGTATTATGCGAGGTTCATCCATCACCGTGAAGTTAATGACGAAAAGTGAGCGTCATATTAAAAAAACAAGTAGAGGTCTTTTTAGTTTTAAAAGTAGATTTTACCCGCTTTTACGTAAGGAATCTCAAAAGTTTTAAAAGTTTATTAATTTAGCTGCTTGTCATTTTTATACATCAAAATTCATATATTTATATGGTATAATTTGGACATAATCTTGCTCTGTGTATACTGTACAGCATTTGAAAAACGCGATTTGCCTCTTATATATCGTACGATCTATTAATTGCCTACATTGTACAACTTGGAGATTTCCAAGGAAAACTACAATAGCCTATGACTATTAAAATCTATAGAAAGCAATTTATTTTTTACTTTTGTGTTACTAATTTTGTGTTATTTCTGTTTTAAATAAAAAACAAATTTTTTTCTGATAGTTGCTTATTTCTTTATGAAGTTTCTAGAAGCGAAAATATTTTATTTCTGTAATTTTAATTTCAAGGATATAACAGATAAATTCTGCAATTTTTAGTTACGTGGTCAAAGAATGATTTTATAAATATAAAAAGTCAATTTGCATATAAAATAAATTTTATATAGAAACAGATATAATTTTAATAATTATTTTAACAAGTAATTTTGACGTTTATTTTTATAATTAAAAAATATTCTTTTATTTTGTCATACAAACTGCGATTCCAATTAATTACATAGTTCAGTTTCTAAAAACAAAATTATATTTTTGTAACTTTAATATGTTCATTCTTTTAATTAAAAAATTGTTTTGCTCTTTTATATAAATTGTAATTTTAATTAAACATGTTTGATTAGTTTAAATTGTTTATATTTTATCTTTATGCTTTCATAGTTTTTAATGTTGATACGATAAAGGAAACATGATGCAATTTGGGAAACTAGTTACAAAAGTTGTACTCGCAGAGATTTAAAAAAAAATGTATATGTGCAACAAATCTCATCATCAAAAAAGATCATAGAATATCATAACCGATCAAGGGTAACCTCCTCATCAACAAACTCAGTCTTTGTCCCATTCTTATCGAGCATTTGCAAATTATGAAAAAAAAAAAGAAAATGAAAATTGGGTCAATACAGACAACCTTCCCCTATATACGATAAAAAAAATCCCAACAATTCAGTTGCGCAAAATCTTGAGGCTGTTGTGTCGGTTTGTATACGCAGGAGCGAGAAAGAGAGAGGGGGAGGAAGAGAAAGAGAGAGAGAGAGAGAGAGAGAGAGAAGCACTTATCAGCGTTCCAGGGTACATCCTCCCGGAACAAGCGATTTCACAATATTATGAATAAAAGTAACAAGTACACATAGTGAAAGGAGGATTACACGAGAGAGCCGAGGAGAAGCTACGATCGAGGTAAACAACGACGCAGCGGAGTAAGAGAGAGAAGAAAATGAACAGATGCAATGCAGTGTGAAAGAAAGGGAGGTATCCTTCCTTGTATTATGGAGGAGCGTAACTGCGAGACGCGCGTCCCTGCTCGTCTTTCATGTCGCCCGTGCGACATTATATCGCGAGTTCAGCGCGTTCGTTTGATAGGAACACGCTGCGATAAAGTCGCCGCCGCGTCGCGCGGAGTGTTGCTTTCCCTCCCTCGTCGTCTCCCTTTTCTGCCTTTTTTTATCTTTACGCTCCCGAATAAAATTTATGACCCAAGGGCTCGCAACCTCAATCTCGCAGCATCAGCCCTCGCGGCCAGGGGAGCTTATTAAACTTTATTTCAACTTTATTTCGGTAAACGCGCCGCACGTGCTGTTTACCGAATAAAGTTTCCGACGTGTGCCGTTACTCGCGAGTAAACATAATATTGACCGATCGAAATACACTCCTACCCCCCCCTCTCTCTCTACGCTCCGGTCGGAGATACGCGCATCACAACAGCGGACGCGTTTCCCATTATCGATCTCGTATGGGCTCCCGGCGTTGACTAACGCGGAAATCGGTATCCCGCCGGCCACAAGTGGTCGCAAACGAGGAGCGATCGCCGCGAACGAGCCGCTTCTCGTCAGGGAAACTTGGAGGAACCTTACAGTGTACATGTAGGCGGATTTCCGGGTCGGGACGCGAGTCAATGTCGGAGATTGCTCGAGCCTAGACATAATCCGGGCTCGGTATTAGAGCGAGATGTGCTCGCCAAGCCTCGGCGGCGGCGAGCGGGAGGGCTGGCTGGCGCAGGGGGAGACGCGTTGACGCGCAGTTTAACCCCGGTATTCACAGGTGGTCTCAGGGTCTGTTATTTCACCAAGCCATGGTGGACTGCGCGAGGGCCGCTATATTGCTACCTCTGGGCTCCAGTATATTGAATTGTCAGCCCGTTAACAAGTGCTCCCTGGTCGAGACTGCCTTCCTGCTGCTGGTGACCGTTTCCACGGTAAATATGCTAACGACCGTGCTAAACGACAGCCCGGTGTTTCCGGAGAGCGACGAGGAGGAAGACCTGACGGCACCCCTGCTGATGGACTCGCCCCAGGTGAGAAGCGCCGAGAAGCCGAGCCACTCGGCGATTTCAGACAACCCGCGGAGAGTCTCTCTCTCTCTCTCTCTCTCTCTCTCTCTCTCTCTCTCTCTCTCTCTCTCTCTCTCTCTCTCTCTCTCTCTCTCTCTTCCTCGAACCACGAGGTCGAGGGTCCACTGTCGCGGTTACCCTCGTGATGGATCGTACAACCGAGCCATTTCCACGCTCCGCTAAATGAATTATGGCGTCGCTCGATGAAGCATAGACGCTGTTTCCGGAAGAGCGGCCCGAGTCAAGTTCAGTTAGATGAATGAAAAACGCCGACATAGCAGCGAAACGCGCGACTTTGTAGACAACGATCGTCTATCTTGCGGCGGAGGGAGAGAGGGACGGGGGGAGATTTGCATTTAACCGCAGCATTGTGATGGCGAATTCAACGGTGAGTGATTGCGGCGCAAGCCGCGCGCGCGCGCGCGGGGGCAGGGGAAAGAGAGAGAGAAAAGGAAGAAGCGGACTTTTTCAAAGGGCAAATTAACCGACAAGCTGCATTTCGCAAAAGTGCTGCAGCCGGCAAAAAATGGACCGGCGAAGGTTGAGCGGCTCCATTAAAACGTCGTGCTCGGGACCTTTCGAGGTTGTCGCCGTTTACAAACGCGAGGGTAGATTTTTTCAGGAACTCCTGGAGTCATAATTCCATCTCTCGTCGGAGCAATCAGAAAGAAGTTGAACTCGTTGAACGACGCTCGCGCTTCCGCCGAAATTTATTTCGCGCTCGTTTCGGGATATTTAATTAAGAATTCAAGAGGAGAAACGTGTTTCACCTCCCCCCTCCCTCTCTCCCCCAATCGAGACGCTACCCGCGCTTGAAAAGTTCCACGCTGAATCTTAGCGGCATTATCGCAAGCGTCGGCTGAGAAATTGGCGCAATTAATTCGCTAACGAGTCGGCTCTCCCGCGCACATGTGGCAGCCGCCGCTCCCGAATTAATTTAACGCGCTAACCCGCGCGCGTCTCCGAGTAACACTCAACTCGCTTTTGCCGAGGACAAAGTCCTAACGACGCCGTCGTCGTTAAGCATGCGCGCGCACGATACCTATTATTAATTAAGTTATTCCCAGCCGCGGCGAAATTGCCACTTCCATTTCTGCCGGCGCCGGGATTATCATTTCCGCGTTTATTCCTGCTGCCGCGCGTCGCGGCTTCCTCCTTCTCAATCCTTCCGCGACTTCTTCCGTCCGCGATCGGCAGCCCCGGAAATGCGTGCGTCACGTTTCGTGCGGGATCTCGAGGATCGGCGATTATTAGCGACAATGCGGCGACTTAAAGTGGCATTTCCTGTACCTGCCGACGAACTTGCCCCGGCTCCGGCGGGTCCCAACTCCCTTCGCGATGGCGAATCAATTGCGGATTACAGGGTCTCGCCGAGACACGCCGGACTTTGGAGTTTGAGCCAGGCTTTGTCGTAAATTCGTCGGGCTGACCGGTCGCGGTGCTCCGAGTGAGAGCGCACGCTCGATCGAGCGAGTGAACATTCGCGAAATCTCGCGGAAGTCTTCGCGAGAGTGTGTTCGCAATCGTGCAACGGAGATTTACAGCCGGCGATGATGGACGTTCCTCTCCGACAGCACCTTTACGCTTTTGACGAGGCAAATGCTCCAATAGCCGGATATTTAACGGCGCAATGCTACGATTGCTTAATTTTATAAAGATGGAAATATTAAGATTCATTACTAACAAGTAAACCTACCCAAGTGTTCCACTCCGATTTTGATGAAATTTTGCATGCGTATAAAGCATCAAAAAATATTAGACACGTATCTTTTTACATCGGCCCATATTTTTTGAAAGTTCGTGTACATTTATTGATTTCTTGTGAGTCATGTATCTCAAGGTCTTCGGAATTAAAAACTATATAATACATAATCAAATTTAGAAAACTATATTTAATAATATATATTTCACATAACACAAATGGTGGACTTAATATAGCGAATTGTGTAGAAATGTGCTCATTCTCATGAAAATCGGCACACAAATTTCTTCTCTTAAAATAAGTAATAAGTATGTAAGTAGCATAATAATAATATAGAATTTTGACAGAGCTTCCATTTCAAATACTTTATAACTGTTATAGATTGTTTTCAGGATTTTTTGTACGTGTTCATAGAGCATGAATATTGCTTGAAAAAATGAAGGTTGGTTTTAAATTAAAATTAAAATTTAAATTAAAATTAATTTTTTCAATTTTTTCAATTCCAAAAATTGATGGAGAAATTTTTTCAAATGTTCATCTGTCATGATGAATCCGACATCTTGAGTTTCAAAATCTGATTTTAGATTTGCTTCTTACTCTGAAGACTTTGAGATATGTAAATCACAGAAAATTAATAAATGTATGCCAATTACGACAGAACCATGATATTCTTTAAATATCGATCCGCCGTTTTGAAAGTCTTAAATTTTCTGGTGAATTCGGATTTGGTAACATAGAAACAACTGATGTGTTCCTCTGGAAATATTATTTTCTCAAACATTTCGTGATATTGAGCATTTATGTATAGAACAAGAAAGTGAAAAAATTGACATTTTAGGGGTGGTTTCTACCCTTAAAACGCTTTATGCGCCGATATAAAAAAATATGTGTCTAATATTTTTCGATGCTTCGTACGCATGCAAAATTTTATCAAAATCGGAGTGGGATACTTGAGCATCAATACTCAAGCAATTGTCGCGATCGCTAAACTCTGTTGACTCAATATCCGGACATAATTAATATGCAAATGAAATTTCCCGTTTTATTGAATTTGCTTTTTATCGATTATTTGAAAGCGTGCCATAATCATTATTTTCTTTTTTTGAACATTTTATAAACAACTATACGTCTCGTTTAAGATAACAATTATATACTTTATTTTAAATTACGGACTGTTTTGTTAAGTTTTCTAATCTCTTTCGCGACTTTTATCTTTTTATTGACTACTTCTAACTTCTTCTTTACTGCCTGTTTTTTTCTTTTTCGCCGAACATTTCTGAATATCGACAGGTTTCAATTAAATGTTAATATTGCGCTAGAGAAAATATTTGAGATTAATAATGACAAGTTTCTGCACATATGTCCGGCAATTGGTACTTTTACATTAATTGCGAGGAACGTTCCGTGTTACACGCCGCGGGACACGAATCGCCGGATCAAACGCGCGATGTTTCGATTGAAATTTGCCGATTTAAATCCACCCACATCCTCTCTCTCTCTCTCTCTCTCTCTCTCTCTCTCTCTCTCTCTCTCTCTCTATCCCCCTTTTTCTCCCCTCACGGATCTAATTCGCATAAATTACCATCGTTGATGAAGAATAATTTAGTTAAAATAGTCCGCGGTCGGCGTATTCATCGTCGCATCGAATGTTTCGGTCGAGTCGCGGGAAAATTGTGCGGAGCGAACGATTAGTCCGAATCGTCAGAATTGATCGGTGCAATTCACAAAGCCAAGCAAGACGCGATTGTCAAGCGAGGGCGAGCTGGACGAAAGGCGAGACGCGAATGAGCCTCCGCTCTGTTCGCAGTGCGTGCTCTTCGGCACCTTCATGATCTGGTTCGCCAGCATAACCATCAACCTGGGGCCCACGTTCCTCAGCGGGGCCTTGGCAGCGAACACGGAGAGCGGCCACAACGCGCCTAGCTGCCCGCTGGTGCATGGCCCGTTTCGCCACTACATTCTCAACGTCCTCTGGATTATCATCAACGTCATCTGCGTGGCGCTCACGCTTTTCCATTTGAGAAAGTTGCACCGGGACCTGACGAAGGCTAACGTCGAGGCGGTAAGCGAGAACCCGCTCCGCTGTTTCATCCCTCTTTCCCTCCTCCCTTGCCACCGCTTTCATTCTCTTTGTATCTAGGGTTGCCAACTGTCGGGTTTTGACCCGGACTGTCAGGTTTTCAGAAATCTTGTCCAGTGTCCAGTTAATAAGTCAAACTGGACGTCATATGTCCGGTTTTTAAGTTATATCTAATCCCCGACTAGAAATTATGATCAGGTTTACCTAACATTGATAAGGACCTAATTGATAAGGACCTAAAAGGACCTAGGGTGAATGAAAGGTAAGCCTAAGTAAGTCAGTCCTTATAATGTCCTAACGACAAATGAGTAAGGAAGACCTTTATAAGGTTATAATGATTGGGTCCACATTAGGACTTTAATGTACCTACCTAGTATATGATATAATATGGTTCAGTTAATCAGGTTCTTGTCAGGATCTTATTCCTTGTACCTAATATGATTTGCATTATCAAGTTTTAACAAAACAATTTTTGAGTGTTATTTCCAAATATAAAGACGTTTGCATTGAAAAAACACTTCAGATCACTTGAACATATTTGTAAAACGCTATAGAAATTATCCTTTTATTAGCAGTCAATAAATAGTTGTAAAATTAACGTGACATGCGACTTTTCTCTTTAACACTACTTTATGTCTTGTCACCTTGTGATACTTAATGATCTTATGATATTCATTTTATGTTTCTTTTCCGAAACATTTTACAAGTATGCTCAAGCGATCTAAAATATTATTTTATGCAAATATCTTTTTATTTGGAAATGACATGAAAGAATTTTCAGCGTGACATTTCTTATTTCTAATGTCATCATCCAATATAGCCGTGGCGAGTAATCAGCAGCTATAATTTGAAAGAAAAAAAAAACGTAATAAGGATTCCATAAGGTAACTCAATAAGGATTTGACTATGAATCCTTACTAAGGTCCTGATATCCATGCTGCGTTACGTGACTACTAGGACGCGATAGTATTACCTTATTGAGACCTCCAATTGGGATGTCCAAATGAGGTTAACCTGATCAGGACCATGGGATAAATTTCTAGTCAGGTCAATGGAATGAGAGTTCAGATTTTTTAGCAATGTTTCTTCGTTTCAAGCGCCTACAAACGATCGAGCGCCACGAAAAGCCATTTAGTAGATGATCCGCCGGTCCGTCATTCCATATATATTAAAAAAGTAATAGTTTATTATTTTATTCAATCAAATCTTGTTTATAAAATTGTTTGGAAATTAATATTGTAAATAAATTCTTGTCATATTTTTTGTATTTAATGTAACGTTATGATTATTATTTCTGGTTTAGTCCGGTTTAGTCCGGTTTGGATTTGTTACCAAAGAAGAAATGTCCGATAACTTTAACTTTTGGATTTGGCAACTCTATTCGTATCGCGGCTCGCGGAAAGCGCGGCAACTGGATTATCGTTTTTCTCCGAAATTGGCTCTGAGGCGCTTTGGAAATAAATACAAACGCGTCATTATCAGGGGAACGGCAGAACGTGAGTGAAGTCTCACGTCGCCGGAAATAGCAGAGAGAGAGAGAGAGAAACGCGCGGGAAATACGATAAACTGCGGCTGGCGCTGGCGCGGCGTGTCAGGTTGGGATAAAGAAATCGCAGAGCGACGTGCGGGATCAGCCGTCTCCCCGCTTGACGCTATCTCGCGCCCGAATTGCCATTCGACCGAAATCGCGCAAATTTCCCCGTCTCGGCCCGTATGACCGTGCTTATCTTCAGGTGCGAGTCGCCGGTCTCGTCGCAACGCTCGTCAACGTGACAGGAGGACACCAGGGTGCGACGAACGCGCTCGGCTCCGAGGACGGCGCGATCGACGCGAGGAACGGCACGACGCCGAAGGTAAGGCTCGTCACGTCGTCATCATCGTCATTTTCCCCTCCCGTGCTTTGCGCGCGCGATCTTCGCCTCGATCGCTTCGATCACCGGCGATTCGCTCACGCTCGCAAGCACTGACGAAGGGGGCCAAAAGGGACAGCTGTCGATGTTTCAGAGGACCGGTGCCGTGGAGGAGCACCGGAAGATGAGGAACTACCTGAGGAGGATGGAGCGCGAGGGCGTGCAGCGAGTGAAAATGTTCCTGGTCATAACGGCGGCGTATGTCATATTCTGGGGACCATTGTTCTTCGTTACCCTGGTGCACCATCCTGTCATAGGCAATCCTACCGGCTACGAGGTAATTAGAACGGATAACTCCCGCGGCGAGATAACGAGATAACGGCCGATGCGCGCGCAAACACGCATCTTCGCTGTTTATGCGCGATCTCGATCGGCATACGCAGTGCCTGTAATCGCGCCTCTGTCCTGCGCGTCCTTGCGGAGGTGGATGTTGTCAGGAGTGTGATCTGCTTTTGAGGATTTTTTTCCTCAAAAATTGATTTAGCGCGTCTATCGTTAGTAAATGACTAAGGGCCGGTTTTTTCAATAATGGTTTGGACTTTGATCGAAGTTTAAACTCTGTTCAAAAGCATCAGACTGTTTTTCAATGAATAGATCAGAATAAAATGTAATTTACAATATAATTTAACCAAACTGTGAGTGATGACCGTTTAATCGTCGTTTAATAAATTAATAATCGTTACAATACAGTGCCTCTATTATTATATTTAAAATCATATTGTTAAATATTTGTAAAAGTATAAAATATTTGTTACGATGCTTGATGAAGAATATTATGAAGAGAGTAATGAAGATGAGGATATTTTAGAATATATAAAACTACGATTGGAAAACCGGCCCTAAATATCATGGATTAATATTAACCCTTTCACTACTGAATTAACTTCTCTTGAAAAAATTATTAAAATATTTGATAGTCCTACGTTTTTTTAAGTCGCTGATTACGAATCTAAAGTCGGATTTGCAAAATTCAAAATGGCGGACTTAATATGGCGATCATGATATATAAAATTAATGAAAATTCCAATTATTATTGATGGTGTATAAGCTTTTCGGGTCGCTGATTACGAATCTGAAGTCAGATTTGTAAAATTCAAAATGGCAGATTCAATATGGCGACCATAATGTACGAAACTGATAAAAATTCCGATTATTATTGTTGATATATATTGAGTAAAATAATATTGATAGTATATATATATATGGATAAGATGGAGATACAGAATGAAAAAACTAGGAAAATAGAGTTAAAAAATGCAAAAGAATTAAATTTCGGCCGTTTTTGTTGAAATATTTGTTTATAAAAAAGAAATCTAACCTGCAGAAAAATACTGAAAGAAATATATGTTTTTGTACAACATAAAAAAAATATTTGGTGAAAATTTCAGACCTCTACATTCAATACTCTCCGAGGAATCGATTTTTCCCTAAAAAAAAAAAGCATTTTTTCAACTTTGATTTGTTATAAAAATCACAAATGAATAATTGGGTATAAAAACCTATCGGAGTATGTTGAACAACTATTCAGTTATCTGGAAAATTCAAATCCTCGATTAGTTCTTCAAAATTATGTGATTTACAATGCGAAATTGAATCAAGAAAAGGTGAGAAGTATACTTCCCACTGACAGTGAAAAGGTTAAAGCGTTGGGAAACAATGGCTGTGATTGAAATGTCTTCGACAAAAGTGACACATATCATTAGTGCCATCACAAAATTCTGAAAACTGAATCGCACTCCTAATAAAACGGCGCGCGGCGCGAAATCGAAATCGGGCGAGAGCCGCGGCGGCGAAATGTCGGCGTTGTTTATTCATTGCGCGAACTAATAAGATCCCTCATTTGATATCAGAGGACACGTGTGTCGGGAATAATCGTTTATACGCGATCCTGTGGTTTACGCGGACCAATGCAAACGAATGCATGTGTGTGTGTGTGTGTGTGTGTGTGTGTGTGTGTGTGTGTATGCGCGCGCGGCGGTGTTTGCTCGTATTTGCGCCAATTTATATTTATCTCGGAGATATTAATATGTATCAGCCTCGTTTGCATGGCGCGAGCTTCGGAAAGAGTGTCACACCTTGCGCGAAATTACGCGAGATGACTCTCTCGCAGGTAATTTAGTCTACGCTGCTGCGAGTGTGCAAACCGTTGAAACATTCGTTTCCACGTCGTAGACGTTTGCGCCGCCTCGGGTTTCGCGTCGGGACTCATTTGCAAGCGGAGCAAAGTGCTCAGAGGAAGCGATACGTGCGCTTCGTTTCGCCTCTACCTGGCTAGTTGAAAAATCAACTGAGCACAGGTGTATCCATCCGAGTTGCGTCGAGTAGCGGCGAGTGTATCTCCGTCGAAATCAATTTCGAGCGTCCGTTTTCAACCCCTCGGCGGCCCCTCCCCTTCCCGCCCACAATCACAAGTGGTTATTGTCGCGTTTCTTTTCTTATCGACACGGAGTTTCTCGCGGCGCGGCTGCGGCGACGATATGTGAAAAGGCGCGCGTGCCAGGCACAAGGGCAAAGCTTGCGAAGGGTAACGACTTTAGTCCGACTCTCAATGGCGACACGACGCGTCGATGGGAATAAATGCGAAAAGTTGGCGAGAAAAGCACGAAAGCGAAACTCCCTCGACCGTGCCGATACACGGTTTCCTTCGCGAGTCACAAGTCGATCGGCGGATTCGCAAGCACGCGCGAGGGCGAGGGTTGTGCGGGCGGGAGGGGAGGGGAGGGAGAGAACTTTCCGCGAGAATATAAATTTGCCCGAAGAGGGGAAAAACAGCGCTCGCTGAGTAATAATATAATCCCGAAGAAGTCGCGCGGTTGTTTCGCGCTGACGTGCCATGTAATCGCGTTTAATCGCGGCGACACGCGTGATGATTTTGACGATCTGCCAAGAGAAGACGACGACCTTCACTCACTTCTCCCCGTGCGTCGATCCGATTTCCGGCAGCTCGTGATTCGCAAGTTATCTCGTGAGGAAGACCGCGAAAAGCACCGAGGGCGAGTTCCACCTTCTTAAATTTCCCAAGCGAGGAAGCACAAATTTCCGCCGAAAAGAGGAAAGCTAACAATTCTTCCCTCCCTTGTAAACTCCGCCGAATAAACTCCCCAAAATCTTGTGTTTGGCTGCCGAGTTGCTTGGCAACGCGTCCATCGCGGATTTGTTCCCGACGTTGCATCCCGGCCGAGGAACACCCGAAACTTTCGGCCCCAACTCGAGTCTCAGCTTGCTCCTCTCCCCGAAGCAAATCGAGCGTTCTCCAAACCGCGAGAACCTTAACTATCCCCGATATCGTTCCGCGTGTAAATTGAGAAATCTCTCTGCTCGCTGCTCTCCAACCGTGAAGCTTTAATTTGTAATTATTTATCGAGATAACCGGAGCGAATCGTACAATCGGGCTTGCCTCGCCTCGCCTCGCCGACCTCTTCCGAACAAAGGACCAAAGCTCTCGCGTGCTTACACGCCTCCCGAGCTTTCCCCCTCGCAATTCTATTGGATAAGCTACAACGCAATCTTCAATTATCTCGCGCACGCTTATGCTTACAATGTTCGCGTCCCGAAAGGACGCGTGCACCGTGCCGTGATCAGAGCGCCTCCTCGGTGAACTTCCGAAAACCGCTCACGCTTCGTCAACATGAATTTTGGCGGAGATACTCGGAATCTCGAATAAAGATCTCCAGCGAACACTTGAGCGGAGTTTTACCGGTGAGCAAGTTCAACGCCAAGAAACTTCGAATAACGTTACATATCGCCGATGACGCTGCGACATTTTGCCGGAGCAAGTTTACGTACTGTAATCGCGTGTCTGCCGTCATTTTCAAATGTGGCAAGAGATGCCGCTTCTTTTCCGCCGGTTTCTAGATTAACAAACGGGGCATTAAGTGCAGCAGATTAAGGTAGATTCAGACAAATGTTCATTCGTTGTCAAACAGACGTACACAATCATGGCGCACAAATTCCTCTGGAGAAGTGGTTCAACGTCAATCAATTGCAGTATATTATTTGCACGATATTATTTGTTGGCATTAACCGCTTCATTGGCGGACCCGAAATCAACGCTTCGTGCCAAAATCGGCGAGAGAGAATAATTTTGTATTTTACATGGAAGCTTACCTATAAGGATTTTTCGAGTCGTTGGTGACGAGTCCAGGGTCGAAGTTATCAAATTACAAATGACGGTTCCAATATGGCGGCTACAAGTGGCAAACTTTGATATTCCATTATGGAACGCAACAAATTCGGTACGTTTTTCTGATCGCAAATAACAATTCATCATAAGTCCGAAGTTTTCACCAGAGCCACTCGGCAAAGAAGTAATTTTCTTCAACATATTTCAATCGCTAATGATAAAGGTAAAAGTATCCATAATGGAATGCCATTGGATTCGCCATTTTAGGTTATTTAGGCAATTTCGACTGGATTCATCATCAGCAATCCAAAAAACACAAACATATCGAATATGATCTTCCCCATAACGGAACAAGTCACTTGAAGCCGCCATATTGGACCTGTCATTCTGAATTTTGACATTTCGACCCCGAGTTCACCAGAGCAGACCCGAAGAATCCTCTACAAAGAAAATTTCATACAAAATCAAATGGATACATCAATCTTGATGAACATTCTTCAAAAACTGCCAGAATGGAGAGTATTGTCCAGTAAGCGCCGCCATACTCGACCCGCCATTATGAATTTCTCAAATTTGATTCGGATTTGCAACCAGCGACCCAAAAAACACGTAAATTTGACGTAAATTCGAGTCACTCATGGTATTCGTATATGAGTCACTACCAGAGTGAACTGGTCAAATTGCCGGCAATCGGACGTGGGTGGCTTCCAAACCACTCCACTCCAGCGTCTCACACAGCGTCTCTGTGCTGCGCCAGGTGACCCTGCACATCGCGTACGTGCACGCCTTCGTGAACCCGACCCTGTTTCTCGCGCTGCACCGGGGCTTGCGGCAGGGCATGTCGGACGTATGTTGCGGCTGCTGCGAAAGCATCGCCCGCTGGATCCTCGGGTCCGCCGTGGGCAGTCCGATACAGAACGTCCAACCACCCCGTTACGAGCCGCCGATGAACCTGCCGTCACCGCCGGACCCACCATTGGCGGCGCCGGCCGCGCCGCCAGGCTGCAATCTTACCGACGTGGCGTTGCTGAAGCCGCCCCTGCCACCGACTGCCAAGCATTTACTGGTGGTAGGACACTGTTCGTCCGATTAATTATCGCCGGGAAGTAAAGTCCGCGTTGCGTTCGCGTGTGAAACACCTACTGAAGCGAGAAATTCTGACGCAGGACGACTCCATCGCGATGCCGCCCGACCCATGGAGCCTGTCCTCGAGGCCGAAGAGCGCTTCCAGCCTCTACAACGAGGAGTTGTCCAGGAGGCCGAGCTTGCTGCTGCCGCCGCCGTCGGAGCTGGACGATCTCCAGCTGAGCCCGACGAGCAGCGACCTGCCGAGCGAATGAAGCCCCAGAGCGGACAATTCGGCCGGACGTTCACCACGTTGACCGCAACTCTTCGCGAACGATCGGTCGCGCTTACGATGTAAAGATATAATTTAAAAAAAAATTATAGAAATAGATTCCTCTTGCGCACGCGCGCGCGGGGAAACCCCTCCGTGCGAAATCCTCTCTCGGAGCGTCCAATCGGACGTTCGCATCGTCAACGAAGCCAAAGTGAGGTCCTCGAAGACCCCCGCGAGGCACGTGTTCTTCTTCAACCGGCGAACCTGAAGACATGTACTCGACATTCATCTTCCATACGGGGAAGCTCCGAAGCGAGGTCGCAAGGGGATGAAGGATGATTGATCCCGCCGCTCTCGCGATCTTATTAAAAAATTCTCTCGCAAAACTCGCGCTTGCGTCTCGGCGGCGCTATTTTTCGACGGGGAGGTCTTGCCGGGGAACTTCCACTGCTAAAACCAACGTCCGAAGGTTTCGCCGCGCGGGACAATATTTCAAGCTGCGCTTGAACGATGCAGGATGTCAAGTTGGGCGCACCAAAATCACCGCTGGTCCGATCGCCTTCAGTCTCGCGGAATTTTCGCCAACGGAAAACTATTATAAAACGATGAAAGTATGTTGACGACAGCTGTTCCCCTAGCCAAGACCCATCCGACACGCGACAAACTTTGCTCGCGACGCGGTGTGTATCGCGAGAGGAAAGATATACGCGACGCAAATCGAGGGGGGAAGGAGCGTAGTCCACTGGGCATCATCTAAATGTATCTGTGATTGCTTATGAACGTCCTAGTCTCTTCATTATTGTGGTGTCATGGATAGATTCTTAGAGATACACACACACACACACACACTCAATGTATATAGACAGAGCGATACGCGATACCTTAGGTACATTAGGCAATTGTGTGATTCGGGGTCCGCCTTCTTCAGTTACACTCCCTCAACGCGGTCGTGAGACCAAAACGAAAGAGAGAGAGAGAGAGAGAGAGAGAGAAGGAGAGAGAAAGAGTACGTAACGAGAAGGGAGGGATCCGCATAGTTCCTTCGTTTAGGTCGAGCTATAGGTGCACTTACTAACATATACACATGATAACGATCGGGAACGCGCAGTTCTGCCGCACTTCGAGTCCTTTGTGGAAACGACGAAAGTGGCGTTCTCGCACGAGCTTCTCTCATCTGGGGACTCAATCTTCTCGAGACAAGATAGTATATATATACATATACGATTGAATTACATATATATTTTCTATGCGAGATTTTGAGCGCTGCACGAAACCTCCCCTCCTCCTAGCCCCGCGTGGATTTGACGGACCGCGAGGAAGTTTCACTTGGAACGAAGGGACGACCAGCGAGAGACAAGAAAGAAAAGGGGACGAGTCTTCGGGGTCTTCGGCGAATCACTTGACGATCATTTGATCTGCGAAATACAACGACGACGAGGGGGGTGCGTGGGAAGCAGTTCTCCCGAATTCGTCAGAACGCGGCCGTTTTGTACGTTTTCCCTGTTGATGTTCTTCGTGATCGTTTCCGATGCATTCGAATTTGCATGATTACAAGCAAAGCCGACTTTGATCGCCATTGTTCGTCTCGAACCTTCACTCGCCGTGACGAAAGGAGGAAAGAAGGCCCGAGCGGTTTTTCGGCATCAACACCTACCGAGAAATATCGCGACGCAGAGGGGACTAATGGTATATTCGAGGACATTCCGGAAGGACCGCAAGCTTCGGGCACTGAGACGACGAGAGGACGACTCGCAACGTCAAGAACAATCAAAACACTCAGTTAATCCAACTCGGAATCGACCAAACTCGAGAGCAGGGTTTTTCAAACCGTTTCAAGCTGCGCGATTTTTTAGGGCACGTGGATATTGGCGTGCCGCGCGGCGTGAAGATACGTCTTCTGCTTAGAAAAATCGCCGGCAGTAGAGCGATTCGCGAATGTTACGTAACGAAGCATAACGTAAAAATTATTCATATCAGGCTGCGCGTCGTGACGCGCGGAGCTTTCGATCGTGATGTGAAAAAGAGAGAGAGAAAAGGGACACCGGGACGCGGAGCTTCTTCGAGCGTGAATTCCGACGACTGACGTCGGCGTGTGTTTGCGTCGTTTGCGGTGGACCGATCGAAATTGCCGCGCAACCTCTTTTTTCGGAGATTATAACCAGGTTTGGGAAGTAACACATTACTTGCAACGAAGTTACAGTTACAGTTCTTTTTTTCTTTTTTGTAACTATAACTTAACTTCGTTCTGTTTTCTCCATCTATAACTGTAACTTAACTTAGTTACCTTTGTTTGATAACTAGTAACTAATTTGATAGTTACTTTAATGGTTACTTTATATATTTCAAACATAAGTTTTTAACGCGACGCGCGATGTTTGATATCGACAATAAGCATACGGTTATTCTGGCTGCATTTGGAAAACGCGCGCTATTGCGTCATCTATCTCTGTCGTTCATTAAATGTAAAACAAGGATAAAATAACGAAATAGCGCTGATAGTCTCCTCTCCGAATGCAATCTGTATTTCTTTCAAAAAAATTGTACACCTATTGGACATTTCCGCCGCGCGTCGCCAATTATTTGTAATTGTTATTGTTATTTGTTAACAGAACCTGCGTTCTGTTCACAGCGTGAAGTGCGCGCTACGTGGTTTAAATTATTTAAAAAAATTCAAGCAATGGATAAAACATCTCAATCTTCGGGGAAGGATTGTAAATGCCATGGCATTTTACCGCCCAGTTGTTATTAATAGTCTTAAAGAATAAATATAAATTGCTTATTTAAATTGATGAATCCAATTTGTAAAAATTATATACAATATATGAGGAATATAATAATCAACAAACCACTTTTATATAAAATTGAAGGAATTTACACAACTATGAAATTTAAAATAATAGCACTATTGTTGCAAAAAGTAACTGCAAAGTAACGACTCGTTACTTTCTAAATAACTATAACATGTTATTTTTTAAGGTCAGTAACTTGTAACTTGTAACTTACTCTTGTAAGATACTTTCACAAAGTAACTTTCCCAAGCCTGATTATAACGAGAAGGAAAGGATATTGGCGTCATTGAAATGTACGATACATATTAAAGTGTACTCAAGATGTTAGCGTAGAGAGCGTTTCTTACTGTATAGCGACAAGCGCATATCAATGTAGAGCGTCGACACGCTTGCAGACGAAGGGCGTTAGGATTGACGTGAAAATTACGTCCCGCAAGCCACCCTCCCTCACCTCCCGCCGGGGACGCGTTGGAAGCAGTGCGTGAGGGAAGCTGCTTGGATACAAGTCAATTAATCGCAACTACCGCACGACGTCTCCTCCTTAGAGTTATGTGTATGTGTAAACCGCGCGCGCGCGTGTGTGTGTGCGAGATAAATGTCTAAAATGTGTAAAAAAAAAATATATATAGAGCGCGCGCGCGCCAAGTGAGAAAGTGTCCGAGCGCGAGAGCGAAATTTTTTATCGTAATTTTGTAAACGCTGCGTCGGGAGAGAACGAAAGTGGCCTATATCGATGATGAACGGCGACTGCAAGGGGAAACAACGCAAGAGCGGTTTAATCGTTCCTTCTCGCGCTTCACAGTTTCGTGCACCTGCATCGTTTGCGTTCTAGGCAAACGAACTGCCTGGAACGAAATTTCAGTCGGACCGCTCAGAGAAGAGTTTCCCTTTTTTTTTTTTTCAAGAGGGAATATTTTCCGATTTATTTACGAATAATTTACGAATAATTTACGAATAAATATTTACGAATATTTCATTAACGCATATTTCAGGGTCGTTATCGGAGACGACCCTTGTCTCTTCTTCGTTTCGGAGCCGATCTGGAGGGCCGATGCGTCGGGGCAAATCATTCTAAATAATCTCGTCAGGAGAAAGTATTGTTAAGGACATTTCTAAGCGAACGGTGCCTGAGAAACCGAATAACCGCTGCGACCTGGCAGCGGAAGATGTGTAAGGCAACTACACGCCAAAACTACGCAGACTATATACAAATCACAAATCTGTCCTTGTCGGAGAAAGCATGCATTATGTTTAAGTGTATGTAAGTATACGCGTGTGTATAAAACCCTGCTCACGTACCTTGAATAAAGATATGTGTAATATACTTGTCTTTCTTGCCGTTTCAAACGCGCTAGAACAAAGCCCAAAAGCTCCCAAGCGAGCTCGTTCCCCTCCCTTCCAAAGACTTTTCGGAAAATCGATTCTCCAGCGCGAGATTCTTCACGCAATATTGCTTCATATGGAAACTGTCTTATATTTGATCTTGAAGATAAACGCGAAAGCGCGCGTTCTTCAAGGTATATAGAGACTAGCGGTCTATTCAACGAAATATTCTACTATCTGTCTCACGTCGCCACTTACCTGTTCGAAGCCACCTAATATCTCCGTCGTGTCCATCGCGGAGTTCATGGCTATCGACCTCAGCTGCTGGCCCGTCAGAGCGGCGAGTAGACGAACGACGTTGCTCTTCCCGCAGCCCGAAGCACCGACCTGCACCACAAAATTCGACAGTTACGACTGATCGTCCATAGCGGCACATTTTAGTAAAAATACGCAATGGCGCGGTGGATAAACGTACCAATATGGACATCCAGTTCATCTTGACGCACTGAAGGAGATTCCTCAGCACCACTTTTTGGTTTCTCAACAACAACAGATTACCTTCCTCGTGCGAGCTATAATCTCTGCGGCTGAACGTCATCTCGCCGATGAAAATCTTATCCGCCGTGATGTGCATGGCCGGCTGATTAGGCGGTAGCGGGTATTTCTCGAGCTCGAATATCTCCTGATATACGTGGTAGACCTGCGAAGTAAATTCAAAGTTTAAAGAATGTGACGCTGGTAAACAACGGCAAAAACTTGGTTTATCACGCACTTCGAGTGCGTGTAATTCGAGAGCGAGTGTGGCATAGTAGACAGCACATTAGTCTACAAAGCCGAAGATCTCAATTCTCCCGGCAGAAACGAAAATTACGATCGCTCTCCTCTCGGAAGGCAATGGTAAACCACCGAGAGTATCTTGCCTAATAAAATCTCTCTAATATGGCCGTTCGGAATTGGCGTTAAATTGTAGGTCCCGTATACATGTGGATAATATTTAGTGCGCAACGCATGTATATGTAAGAGAGATCACCAACGTTCGAGGTCGGATGGAACATCAAGAAGAAGATTTCGAGTGCATAGAGACTGTACTCACTCTTTGCCGATCCTCCTTGGTCCTCATTCTGTCGACATAAATGAGTTCCACACTATTGCCTGGATTGAAGTGCTCTTTACGACCATGTAACTCGTTACAGGCGATCTCGATAGTTGTCTCGCACCATCGCGTGATGTCACGCAAGTTCATCTCCCAGGGAGATCCAGTGTGACCCCACGCGACGCCAACCTCAGACGCTAACACGCCGTTGAACCGTACCATGTCGTTGATTAGGTCCGCGGGCAGTTGTGGAAATTGCACGCTGAGGATAAGTTTCAAGTCTTCGTCCATCAGCGCATCGACAGAAATCTGCAAAAAGGAATAGTCGCGGTTGCGAGAAAACTGTGTGAACCGTCTACTTTACGGCATCTTATCGTGCGCGAGTTACCTGAGTAAATCTGTTCAAGAAGGACCTCGGCAAGCCGCGTCTGGCCCCACCTTGCTGCAGGGGATTCTGGCAGCCAAACAGTCTCGTGCCGTGTTCCAACCTGAAGGTTTTTCCCAACTCAGGAATGTAGACCTGCCCCCTATGGTCGAAACACGCGTTGAGACCTTCCAAGACTGACTGAGAAGCCAGATTCAACTCGTCGAGCAGGATCCAATATCCTGCTCGCAGAGCCTGCAGAAACGGTCCGTCCCGCCACGCAAATTCACCGCCTTTACCGCCCTCTACAGGCAAATCGGCACCGAATAAGTCGGAGATATCCTGCAGATGGACAAGAACGTGTCGATTATTTCGACGTTGGTGATTTATATTTTGAGGACACACATGGCTGACTTTTCAATGGTGATCCAAGAATAAGATGGACCCTTTGTTATATTTTATTGATACACGTAATCATTTAATACGCACTGTTTGATCGCTCAAGTTGATCCTGACCAAAGTATACCCGGCTGCTTTGGCGAGCGCAGAAACTAGGCTGGTTTTCCCCACACCTGGGCTTCCCTCCAGCAGAATCGGCTTGCTCAGCTGCAACGCTCTCAGCAGCTTCATTGTGTTCAGCTTCGTAGTGGGAGTCGAGAACGTGAATGCGAGGTCGTCGTGACAGACACTCGGGCCTTTCTTGATGTAAAACGGCGGTATTCCGAATACATTGCTCGAATCTCTCAGCGTGGTTTCTTTATTCACCGTAAGAGTCTCCGTACTGAGATCTGACTTTATTATATGTTCAACTTCCGACCTAATAAATCGCATGGCAGCGTCCGTAAAGCTCCTCAGTTTCTCGATGCTGAAATTCAAATGCGCAGAGACAATAATGACCAATCGTTGGTCGCTGGAAGCACAAGCAAGCTTTGGAAGACTGATGCAATGATGCTTACCTCTCGGCGCCTGTCGAGCCCGACCCAAGACTGTCAATGTACGTGAGACAAGCGCCATGATAATACGTGTCTCCGATCGTCAGCATCGACGGCGACCCACCGTCGGTGCACGTATTTATAAAGTTCACCCACGTGAGTACATCTCGCACGCTGACGGTGAGCTTTTTGCCCACCTCGGTGGTATGTAGCCACTCGGTGAACCTCAGCACCGCGTTGGCAATGGCTTCTTTCGTAGCATGCGACTCGATGCGAAGGTTGTGCACTATTATGTCGTGCAAGTCGCCTCTGACGGTGCATCCTTCGCACCATACCTCGGTAAAGCGATTTCGCAGGGCCGGTGAGAGCTCTTTCTTGCCGTAATCACCGCCAGGGTTCATCGTGCCGACAAACACGAACTTCTCATCCGCCACGATCACGGCATTCTCTTCGCCGTGCGAGGTCTCTATTCCTTTCTCGGCCAATAAAAGGCTTCGCTCGGGTTCTACAGATACAGCAAAATGGAGACGACCAATCGAGGAGAAAGAGAAGAGAGAGAAAAAGAGAGTGGAAGAAAGATAATCACACATACCTAACAGCGAATTTAACCGCTCCAGGACACTATCGTCGGCCAAGGAAATTTCGTCTGCCAAAAACAGCTCACCGTTACGCATAGCGTTGATCAGAGGCCCGTCCACCCACTCGAAGAGCTTGTTGTCGTCAGTGTATTCTCGCACAGGTCGTAAATTTCCCAGGAAATCGGACGACTCGGTGTGCATGTGGCAGTTGACCGCGCGCATCATTTGGCCGTTAATGGAGGCGATCAGTTGGCACACCGTAGTCTTGCCTCCGCCAGTCTCGCCAACCAACAGCACCGGCTCCTTGAAGTGACAGGATTTCTTCACAAGTACCGCCATCCGGCGCATGTGGTAAGTCCACACGATGTGCTCGAAGCACGGGATGTCGCTCAAGATCTCTTGCAATATGTGCCTGGTGACAGGCGAGGTCTTGTCGTTGAGTGTGAACAGTCTGTCTGGGTCTACGTCCCTTTTCAGGTGTTTCTTCATCACCTGCCGTATCTCGTCCGCTTCCTCCGCTTTGCGGACTTTAGCTGCGAGGACGAGGTAACCTTCCTCGGCTAGGTGTTGTCTCCAATCGTATAGCTTGTGGTCTGCGTTGGACGCTAGACGGTACCTCTCGCCCCAGCGGAAGAGATCGCGCAGAGTTATGAAACCTACGGAACGAAGAGAAAAGGTTCATTGGTTGCCCAACTGAAAAATGATTTTATTTTCCGCTGTTACGCACCTCTTTTACCGGCGAAAGCCGCTGTGCTCTTACGCCTTATCTGAAGATCAGTCATCACGTCGATCACTTCCTTGCAGTATGACTCGGGCATGTTGCATCTCTTGCCGAGTATTATCTTCAACTCGTTGGCTGGTATCTCGTCAAAATGGAGCTCCACGAATCGATTTCTGAACGCTCGGGACAGCACCTGGGGAACCAACATCGTCCGATTGTAAGTTTTCCTCTGTAGTTCCTGTTAATAGAATACCAAAGATGAGCGGCAGCTTACCTTTCGACCGCCATAAATTCCAGGGGGATTCTGCGTTGCGAACAACATGAAGTGTTCATGCGCTTTTACGACCTGTTGCGTCTCGGGGATGAACAATTCTCTGTTGTCGTCCAAGACTCGATTCAGGGCCTCCAAGACATCGCTCGGAGCTAAATTCAGTTCATCCAAGATGATCCAATGTCCTGCAAAGAACGTTGCATTTTAACTCTTTCACCTACAGTATCGTGTGAGACTCGTAGTAAGGAATTCGGGCCAAACATAAAAACCACGAGTGAAGGTCGTGGTACATTTATCGGTACATAATAAACATAATAAACATAATAAATACGAGTGAGGACCGTGGTATGTTTATCCGTTACGGGCCAAACGTAAACAACACGAGTCAGGCTCGTGGTTCAATTGTCGCTAATGCCTTTCCATTTCAGTTATTATTATTCTTGGCCACATCCGCATGTTCAAATCTATTTCCTTAAAAGTATTTAAAAAAAAAATCGCTTATATAATGTCCAGATAATAAACATTTTTGTTCACTGATGAATCGTTCGTAATTGTTTCCTAGACATTTTACAAAATTAAAGTTGTATCTCACACATGTATATACTCGGTGTCTAAGACCACCCTTTTTCTTTCAAAAACTAAGTATTTTGGAGAAAAACATTTTAGACAAAAATTGTATGGTTTCAAGGGGGACATAAAGCAACCATATCAGTTTATTTACAACTGGCGCTACTTTCACTGATATTCCACTGATCATTACTTTTCTTAAATGAAAACCCAAATTTTTTACTATATCATCTTTTTCTACCAATTAATTTGAACAATTTTGTCTGAAACATTTTTTATTTGCTTAATATTTTTTGAGATATTCAAGGAAAACTTTTACTGGTAATTTTTACAATATTTAACTTATATCTCGCTAACTATTTGTCAGAAGAAAAGATAATACTAGACTTTTTTATTCCATTTGGTATCAGGAATGTATTGTTACAATAGTGCCCTAACTATTGTTAACTTATCGACTTTTGGAAAAATTTCCAAATCATCAAATTAACAAATATCAGTTTCTCCTTGAAACCATACAATTTTCATCTAAAACGTCTTTCTCCAAAATGCTTGGTTTTTGAAAGGAAAGGGATACGTACGAGTGGTCTCAGACACCCGGTATAAATCATAAGGCGTACGATTGGCGCAAGTTTGAGCGCACGGCCAAACAGCTTATTTAGCTCGACGCATGACCGACCTTGTTGTTGATCATGGCACGCGCTGTTTAAATCATAATATAAGGGATCAATCCGACGACTTTCCTTCAACGAGACGGCACACTCACCTTTGCGCATCGCGTCGACCAAGACACCCTCCTTAAACACCAGCTTCCCCGTCTCGTCCGCGACATAACTGCCAACGTACTCTTGCAGATCCGTGTGTTCGTGATTGTTTATCCTCACGCAGACATGGCCCGAGATCTTCGCCAGGTAAGTGATCAGACTAGTCTTCCCCACCGACGTGTCGCCTTGCAATAAGACCGGCAGCTTCCCAATTGACACCACCCTCACCAAGTCCCGCAAATTCCTCCGGACGGAGTCGGTCAGTATGTACTATGGCGGAAAGATCGGTTTTGAAAAGTAGGCTCACCGATTTGAATTCAACGGTCTTCCCCTCCCCTCCCTTTGCGCCGCGGGCGGGAGAACTGTTCCTCGCCGAAGAAGCAGTATACACTTTCGGAATTTCCAAAAAGAAACAAATATGTACGATCTGTTCTTCTTAGCTGAACCAGGTTGCATCCTGTTTTGTTTTTTGGAATGAAGCATATAAATTTGCGATAAAAAGAAAAGGAACAAAGTTTCAGTGCAGTTCGCGGCTAAAAAGAGGAGACCTCTAGCGGAGGGACGGAGAAGAGACAACCGGTGCAGAGTAGTACACAAAGTTCTTCAAAAAAGGAGCAAACCTAAGGTTCGTTTTTCACCGTTGGCACTACTTCGCATCCGATTTCCTCCTCTCTTTTCTCCAACAGGTCTCAATCGTATATCCGTCTCTTTTCCGGTCCCGACGGTGCATATTATTTCAGCGATAAAAAGTAAACCTCAATAATAAAGAATACTGTAACCTTACCGATGATTTTTATCATGAAAAATGATTCATAAGCGAGCAAGTTTTGACAATTGTAGTGGGACATTCACAATTTTGAAAAACCTTTCATCCCTCAGTTTCTAGCCAACTTACGTTGCTCGGCGTTTCAGGCTTTAGACTACCCTGCAACACCCAATATCCCTCGACGTTTATGTACTCCTCCCCCGGGGCGCACTTCGGCTTCGGAATGGGCGTACCGAGGATCGCCTTGATGTTCTGGTTGTTGCCCAAAATGGCCTTGGCGATCATCGTCTGCACGATCGGATGCGACTTGTAGTCGAGCTGCGTGAGGAAACTGAGGGAGAAGGCCTCGAACAGAGACCTCTGAATATTGCCGCAAGGATTCGCCGTGGATATGTTCAACGCGCGACACAATGTCCTCAGGCTGTAGTGCGGCTGGTGCGCAGTGCCGTCGAAGAGTGTGCTCGTCGCTTGTTTCTTCACGTTCAAGTAGAACTTCACGATCGCTTCATGCTTCCCCAATCCGATCTCCTTCAAGTATGAGCTGACGAGCAGCTGGAGGTCGATGTGGTCAGTCAGCTCATCGACGTAGAACTCGGTGAATCTGTTTCGCAGACCGACCGGCAGGTCCCTCTTGCCGACGTCTGTCGCAGGATTCATGCAGGCGAACATCCTGAAGTCGGGGTGCCGCTTCACCGCCTCGCCATCGCCGCGCTCCAGCAACGGCAGCGACTCCGAGGCGCTCTCCAGTAGGCCGGACAGGCATTCCAGCGTCTCCGCGTTGGCCAGGTTGATCTCGTCCAAGAGCACCCAAGAACCGTCCCGTAGAGCCTTCACCAGGCTGCTTTCCACGAAGGAGAATGCCAACATGTGCTGATTCTTCACCTGGCTGTAGAGCTTGTTCACTTTCTCCAGCAGATTCTCCCATCTCTTCCACATGCCTGTCATGAATTGCTCCTGGTGTCGGTAGGTTGCGTGTCTCTCCTCAAAGTCGCTTTCTGCGCCGACAGGTTCCGAGGTGTTTCTGTTGGACACTTTAACTTGGTGTGCTTCTTTGTATTTGTCCCGTAGTCTACTCACAGCGGCGCGCGCGCTGTGTCTCAGGTATTGCAGCAAAGCCTTCCATTTCTGCTCCTTGTAATACAAACTTATCTTCTCTAGGAACCCTACGTTCTGCTCGACGATGAAGTGAGAGCGAAACAGGATGTCGAACTCTTGTCGAACCGGTGTGATCAGGAACTTCAGGTCGACCGGCTTGTAACCGCCCAGCAAATCTGTGCTCTCGCTCTGCTGGTTCATGTTTATCACCGTCAACCGGTGGCCGGTGCTCTTCGCCAGGTACTGAACCGTACTGGTCTTTCCAGTGCCAGTCTCGCCGACCAGCAACACCGGTTCTTTCTGCGCCACGCAGCTGGCTATGCGCTCCAGCAGGCATACGGACGGTTGCGTGAACGAAAAATTGCTCCTGCTGGTCAGTAGCTTGGCGTACTGCTCTTTCTTGCGAGGCAACTCTGCTCGGCCGATTATCAGGGTCCCGGTTGTCAAAGTCATAACGGGTTTATGTATGTTGCAAAAGTACTCGGCCTTTGTTCTTATGATACCGAGCTTGTTAGCTATCTCTATCGCCAGGTTCAAGCGTTGCTCTGCAAATAAGTGTTGCTATTTAACAATCGTCCCAAAGATATAATGAAATAGTAGGTGCAAGTAAGTTGCCTAACGCAAACATATATAACTGTAATGTCCAGGAAGACAGACTGTAAATACACACCTTGGTTGGTTACCGAGCAGCAGAAGACGTCTATAGCGTCCTGAAGTAGCTTCAAGGCTGAGTTCGACGATGAGACGTCAAAGTCGATGACAGCTCTGGAGCACCACTTTATCAAATCTCGAGTCGATGTTTGTCGTCCGGTCTTCAGTATCCCGTCGTTGCCCTCGTTGTCATGATCTCCCACGGAAAATAGCAAGAACACATCTACTATTTTGGTGGCAGTAGTTTCCAGTTTCGGGAACATTGTTTTAACTACTTCCACCAATTCTTCCTTGGACAACGGCTCCACGTTCAGGCACAGCCAATGTTTCTGCAACAGACTCGAGGATCCCGCCACATGCTTTGAAGCAGTTGCTCGTTGAGTAACAAACAGCTGGAAGTCGCTTTTGGCGTAGATAGTGTCACGGTAACCGGGCACGCACAATGTACCAGTCTCTATCAGATTACTGAGAACGCTAGCTACGTCCAAAGGAGCGCTATCGATGTCCTCCAGCAGCAACCACTTGCCGTCAATGACGGCTTGCGTGAGGATGCCCGGCTGCCAAATGAATTCACCGGGCATGTCGGTGCATCTGTACATTCCCAGCAACATCTTCGAGTCAGTCTGATCCCCCAGCTGTACTTTGACAAAGTTCGACGCGTAGTGGCCGGTCACCTTGGCCAGATATTCCACCAAGCTGGTCTTGCCGCAACCAACAGGCCCTTGCAAACAGATACATTTCCTGGAGCCGATGACTACAGCTAGACTTTGTAGATTGTTCTTCGTGGAAGATACCAGCACCAAGTCGCTGTAAGTCTTCTGGTGAGTCTGAGGGTTGACGTGACGGTCGGCAACAAAAGTCGGCAACAAAATACTACCGACAGATACGACAGACGGGACATTCTCGACCAGACGTCCCAGCGATTCGAGACTTGTGCAAGCCACTCGAGTATCCGTGTTGTTCTTATCTTCATGATCGATCGAAAATCTTTCGAAATCCACGGGGTGTAAATGCGGGCATAATATTCTTGTGGATGCAGACACATTTAGAATTATCGCTAGGCATTTCAAAGCAACCCTGAAAAGAAACGAGAAATAAGCACTCTTTTATAGACAAACGATAATAGATGGATGAAGAGATCTTTTTTCTATGCTCACCATCTCACTCTGTCATCTGCGTGTGTCAAGAATTTGTAAAACTTGGACCAGTTCCACTTGTGCTTAAAATGGCTGATCGCAGATTGCAGAATGTTATAAGTTGCTATAACAACATCATAATCAGACACTTCTGAGATGGAATATGATAATTTCTTTACGTTTCGCCTCTTTGCTGGCGAAACAGTGTCTGTATTTGTGACAAAAGGCTCAAACGGCCCAGGATTAACATCAAAATAACGTAAAACAAATCTGAAACAAAAGATTAATATGACGTGCAAAGCACTTACCTACCTAGCCAGCTTACAATACTGTACTTATAGATAATAACTATTATTTGAAACACTACAAAATATTTATTAGCTCTCAGTTAACATGGCAAATGCTTATATTTGAGCTTCAAGTTTTGGAGCAATGAAATAGAAATGATACACAATGCTTTTTCAAAGAAATATCAATATTTTGATTGTAATAAGTATTCGATGAGATTGCTCACTACATACTACTTGCCAATAATAGAATCTATGCAAGTTAAATAAAAATATGCAACTATCTAGAAATTGAAGAGTTTCAATAAGACATATTGTAGAATATCGTAAGCTGAATTTATTACTGCAAGATTCATTACATATAATCTTTATATAGAACAGATATTCAACAAATGCATACTTTAATAAATCTGGATCAACAAGTACCAGCTTGCCAAGAATAACAACGTTTAATCTATGAATAAGATCCTTATGAGATAATGTTGGTGATTGCAAATCAGCTGGATTTATCGCCATAGAAACAAGTGCTGGCAATAATTCTGAAAAGTATTTCACTACATCTTCCGTGCATTCTGGGTACATCAAAAATTCACACAATATTTCCAAAACTCTGTCGGACTCGTATTTATCAAAATTCTGTAAGAAAACATTAAGAAGAAGTTTATGTTTCATTCATACTGCACCTTTAGACATCTAGCTAGTATTGATAAGCAAGACACAAGACAATGCTAAACCGAAATGAAAACAAAATATCCCTGACGAAATATCTTTATAATTTTGGCCGTGTTCGAGAATATTTCGATACACGTGACACGTTTTAAAGCACAATTGTTTTTATCTATGATTCTAATATATATTTTAAGTCTTTTACGTTATATAGCAAACATAGGATATAACAAAGGATTATAATCGAAATATACACGTGGCGATATTTGATCTCGAAATATTTCTGACGAAATATCTTTGTAATTTTGGCCGTGTTTGTGAATAATTCAATACACGTGACACGTTTTAAAGCACGACTGTTTTTATTTACCTGATTATAATATATATTTTAAGTCTTCTACGTTATATAGCAAACATAGGATATAACAAAGGATTATAATCGAAATACACACGTGGCGAAATTTGATCTCGAAATATTTCCGACGAAATATCTTTATAATTTTGGCCGTGTTCGAGAATATTTTAATACACGTGACACGCTTTAAAGCACGATTGTTTTTATCTATGATTCTAATATACATTTTAAGTCTTTTACGTTATATAGCAAACATAGGATATAACAAAGGATTATAATCGAAATATACACGTGGCGATATTTGATCTCGAAATATTTCTGACGAAATATCTTTGTAATTTTGGCCGTGTTTGTGAATATTTCAATACACGTGACACGTTTTAAAGCACAATTGTTTTTATCTATGATTCTAATATATATTTTAAGTTTTCTTCTACGTTATATAGCAAACATAGGATATAACAAAGGATTATAATCGAAATACACACGTGACGATATTTGAAGCAATAATATAAATTGTGACATAAATACCTCTGGCTCCGTGAATTCTGCGAGTCTCTGCTTATATTCTATCTTTTGGTTGCAGAAAGCGGGCAAATTGGTAGTTAATATCAATTTTGTAATCGGCATCGTTACTACTTTTGTAACCCGCAACACGTGTTGCTTTCAACAAACAGGTTGTAATACTTGATGATGCACGCGCTTACGCCGAGACGGAGAGTAACAAACTGTACCTGACTGTGCCGGACCCGGACTGTATGCAAGTAACCTATTTACTCCCAGTTCCATCTATAGAGAATTTCCGGTATTACTCAAGACCGCTTTTCGGGCAGTATTCATAGGCTGCGTTCCGATATTCACTGCCAGTACTGAAAATCTATAATATATGTGACATAAAGTATATATTTTCAGTACTGGCAGTGAATATCGGAACGCAGCCATAGTCAGATCTTATATTTAAGACCGTCTTGAGTACACGTTCAGATATTTTGTAGCCAATGAAATGAAATCTATACAGCATCTGAAGATGGACTTAAGACAATCTTAAATATAAGACCGGACTATGAATACAGGCTTTCAACTCGGAAATGTGTAAAGCCAGCGGCACACGATGCTTGTTTTCGTGCTGGATTGCTTGCTGGATGAAAATACTGCGTTCTGATTGATGCATTTCCATCCATCTTCGGAAATATACCAATCAGAACGCATTATTATCATCCAGCAAGCAATCCAGCACGAAACAAACACCGTGTGCCGTTGGCTTAACACAAAAGCCAATATTCATAGTCAGGTCTTATATTCAAGACCGTCTTAAGTACACCTTGAGATATCTTGTAACCAATAAAATGATATGTACAGCATCTGAAGATGAACTTAAGACGATCTTAAATATAAGATCCGACTATGAATACTGGCCAAAGGCTGCGTTCCAACTTTCACTGCCAGTACGGAAAATACATAGTTTGTGTCACGCATACTATAGATTTTCAGTTTAATTCAATTTAATTCAATAGATGGCTCTGGGTGTGTAAACTACTGCTCCGACGCCACTCTCTAATAGATTTTCAGTACTGACAGTGAATATCGGAACAGAGAGGAACGTGAAAGCGGCCAATACGGTGTTTTCGGCGACACCGATTTTCTGCACTGAGAAAGGGCGCCATCTGCATCCATTTTGAGAGGGAACTACGACACTACATTCACTTTCAGGTTTCGGCGGTAAAACCTGCATGTAGTGGCAGTCCGTGTTACATCCATTTTCAGGCGGTTTATGTCCGTGCTACAACCATAATAGCACGGTCTCGCACATTGTTAAGCGTTTATAATATGAATTAACATGTTAACATGTGCAAAAAAATTGATATTGTGTATAATTAATGAAGAGCACACGAAGTGTCCGATAATTAGCTGCCGAAGTGTCAGGGTAGATTGGGTTGAGACAAACATAAAAGTCCCATACCGTTTTGCTAGATTCGCAATAATTATCGAGTTATTAATGACAGAAATCTGAGGAGTAGGAACGCGCCGACATAGATGATTGGAGAAGCGTTGCAGCTGCTCAGGGCAGCGATCATGAATTTTTTCCGTAGCGTGAACTAGTGAAAAGTGAAAGACTTCTGTGAATCGGTGAAAAATGAAAAATTTTATATGAATTTGTGAAAATCGAAACATTTCACACGACAATTGAGTCGTTCAACATGGCAGTTGCGCGTTCTGGATAATTCTTAATGAATATCAAAGAAATCAAAATGATCAAAATAATGAGGTCCGTGTAGTCCGAAGAATATTACATGACACGCAAAATCCGTTTGCTATAATATCCAAAGAAAATGTTTCAAAATATATATGTACAGTTAATATAAACCTTATGCACCGACGAGATATACTACAAAGACTGATGGCCTTACGGGATTTAGCGTACCAGAGAAATTTCTCTGGTGAGGCACTTGGGCGAAAGAGACCGTCTCGCATTTACCGCAGTAAAATTTAATGGGAACTAATACTTTCCAATTCTTTTCTTCGGATCAAAAAGATTCAGAATTCAGACATATTCAAAATGTCAATACTTTTTAATACGTTTCAATTCGACATTTTATATAGGGAAGCAGGACGAAGGGAATGGGATGCGGGCAACGATACATCATGCGTCTCCAGGCGTGTCAAATCGTTTATTATAGAGCAGACTTTGATACGGCAACATGTATTCGAATATTTAATCGTCCCATGGACCACTTATACATAATAAAAAAAAATAAAAATTAACGCGGATAAATAAACGATTCGTATCAATTTTTCCTTTTCTTATAGAGCAATGAAAGAGTAAATCAGTATCGAAAATCGAATACCGATTAATACCATAAATCAGTGTCAGAAAATTGTCCAATGACAATTTGTTCTCATTTTTCAGGTAGTTATCGCTGTAATTTACACAACAAATTAACTCGGTTAAACGAACGATTCGTACCAATTTTTCTTCTCTTATAAAGAAATGAGAGAATAAATCAGTACCGAAAATCGAAGGCCGATCAATACCTAATTTATTCATCAAATTAACGAGGATTAATGGACGATTCGTATTAATTTTCTGTTTTCTTATAGAGAAATGGAAGAGTAAATCAGTACCGAAAATCGAATATCGATTAATACCATAAATCAGTGTCAAAAAATTGCACACGTGCAATGACAATTTGTTCTTATTTTTCAGATACATACCCCTCTAATCTTACTCAACAAATTAACTCAGATAAACGAAAAAACTCATGATCGCTGCCCTGAGCAGCTGCAACGCTTCTCCAATCATCTATGTCGACGCGTTCCTACTCCTCAGATTTTTGTGATTAATAACTCGATAATTATGGTTGTAACACGGACATAAACCGTCTGAAAATGGATGTAGCACGGACTGCCACCACATTACACTAATTTTTAAGCACTTCTGTTCGCAGACAGTCAGGCAAGGCATTAGTTTCTTTGTCTCAACGACCACTACCGAATGCAAAGATTCACAAAGGGCACCTTTAGATTTTGTCTATTTTCGCCACATAAAATGGAACAAAATCTAACCCAGGCGTTTTTTTGTGAACTTTTAATATTGCATTTGATGGGACTTTCTCCGACCACTGGAAATTTCTTGAAAATTAACGCAATGTGTAATTTAAAATAATAAAACAGCTTATTGCGGGCACTTGCGGACTCTCCCTTCTAACATCGCCGTTCCTTTCTCTTCTCACACAGGTTCTATTCTTGATGTTCGTGAAAACGATCGTAAATAATTGACGAAAGGAGAAACAAGGAAAAGGGATTACACGACGGTGGGTCCCAATGACGATGGCTATAGCTCTCGCTCAAACGACAACTCAATTTAACATGATTTTATATTTTATTTCGCGTTACTCAAAATATGTCTTCATGGGCATAAGTTCAACACTAGGAGGTTATTTAAAGAAAAAAGGCAATCATAATTTATGATACGTGTATTTGGATCAATAATGATAACCAATAATGATCTGTTAAATTTTTTAGAAATCTTTTCAATCATAAGACGATGGGTCCTATTTGCTGACTGTGCCTTGTCCCAAATCATCCTCAGGGTCAGCAAAAGATGTTGCGCTGATCTCTGGCAATAACGTGGCCGCCATGATAGTGGCTAGCAGAAGACTGAAGAACGTACGGTACATGGCGAAATCTTCGTTTTTCTCGTTCTTGGCGAAATCGTTCGACTTTCTCGTATGAGCGTTTGATACAACATCGGACAATTTTGCACATTTATACCCGCGGAGGCACAGCTTTGTGTGTGACGCATGCAATCGCTTCTCACGAAAACCGTATAAAATTTTTATGTATCCCGCGTGCGACGCGTACAGCACGTGCGTATGACACGTGCTACAATGTGTTATCTTTTCACTGCAATCATGTGCTCGTTTAACGATAACAATGTATCACGTTGCAACGATAACACACATTATCATATAAAATGGTAATCGTCGGAAATGTTGTAAAAAATGTACTGAAGAAGAAAAAAAGAAAGAGAGGCCTATGAATTTTATGAAAATTTAAGCAAGGCGCTTTTTGCAAATTTTTAGAATTGCATTCGATAGTACTTGTCGAGACAAAGAAAGAAAATGACACCTCACCCGATTTTCTACAATCACCGATAGTGTCTGAAAAACTTCATGTTTTTTGGAAAATGTAAACAATTCTTTCAGGTATTTCCGGTAGTCGTAGAAAGTCGTGCAAAGTGTCATTTTTTTGTCTCGATGAGTACTATCGAATGCAATTCTAAAAGTTTACAAGAAGCACCTAGTTTAGATTTTTATTTTTATAGGCCCATGAAATTTATAAAAATCTAAACCAGACATTTTTTGTGAATTTCTGCATCCATTTTGAGAGGGGAACTACGATGCTACATTCACTTTCAGGTTTCGGCGGTAATGTGTTTAAAGTAACAAAACTCGAAAATGCGCCCAGATGGCGCATCAAATAGTCTCGAAAATTGGAATCGGCCAAAACCAAGATCCGTAAATAGAGACAAAACGAAGTCAGGTCTTCTCATGGCCGCTATTTTGGAGCCAAAGAATCTATGTTGGTGTACGTGATACTATGTACGTGTAATATCATGGACCGTTTTCCAGCAAAGGTCACAGAGGACACTGTGTAACACTGTGTCCAACACAGAATGTTCCAACAATGATGCAATATTACACTGCTCTACACAGCAAAAGTCTGAGTTGCAGCGTGTAAATCATATCAATGCTACCAATATTTCGAAATATTTTATGTAACAGATGGTAACTGTTTTTATTCTTTTAGTACGAATATAATTTACAATAATAATTAGCGTGAATGTAACCTACAATATACAGGGTGTCCCATTTTAACTTTCGCATTAAAAAATCTCGAAAACTATGACAGATATTAAAAAAAGCTAAAACACGTTTTCCATGATTTAGAAGGGGAAAGAGAATGGCATTATCAGTTTTTTATTTGGAGGACATTTTCAAGGTCAGTTGGAGGTCAACTTAATTTTTTAAAGTAGAAAGCCCAATTTTTTATTATGTCTTCTTTTTCTACCAATTAATTTTAACAATTTTTATCTGAAACATTATTTTATTTGCCTAATATTTTTTGGAATATTTAAAGAAAACTTGGTAACTTTTTCAACATTTAACTTATGATATCTCGTTAACTATTCGTCGAAAGAGAAAATAGTATTAGACTTTTTTACTTTATTTACTATCAAGAATATATT